TTGGAGAATGTTATATTTAATTTAATTTCTTGAGTTTAATTTCTTCAGTTTTTATTGTTTTATTCTGTAACTGTTCTACTCGATTTCTATTCTGTGTCTGTTTTATTACGCAGCTTATCTAATTGATCTTCTGATATATTTAATTTCCATTCTATTGTATTAATTCTATTCCAGAAATCTTGCATCACAGTGAGTGTATTGTAATTGTCAAAACATTTGGTAACTAAACAGAATTGTATTAAGTTTAGTGACAACATTACTATGTTTACGTGGTACAGCATTTTATTATCGCTCGACACAAATCGCACGATTTCAATTCAATTCTTTGTGATTTGATTCGGATCTTGATTCATTTGAATAAATAGCATTTCTCAATTAGATGTTAACATTTCTCAAGAAAAGCAATATCTCGCGTAATGCAGTGAACACACACACACACACACCGCTGGTGTTACCATTAAACCTTACAAATAACAACTAAAATATAAATATAATGCGTTTTTTTTATTATAATAACAACAACGTTATAATATTTGAATAATATAAGTAAAAATATAATAAATATGTAATATAGTGCACATATTTAGCACAATACACCTCTCTAAAGCTAATTTCTCTCCAACTAACACTAACATCTGTGTGTGTGTGTGTGTATGTGAGTGTGTGAGAGTGAGTGTGAGTGTGTGTGTGTGTGTGTGTGTGTGTGTGTGTGTTATATATATATATATATATATATATATACAGTAGAGCCTGTCCGATATGGATTTTTAGGGGCCGATGCCGATACCGATAAAAAAAGCCCGATACCGATATATCGGCCGATATTATTTATGTGTATATTATAATACAGTAGCAATATTATGTATGTGTATTATAGTACAGTATACCAGTCAAAAATTTGGACACACTTTCCTATTGGTGTGTACAAACTTTTGATGGGTACTGTATATAGAATACACAGTATAAACAGAATAAATATATAAACGTTTTGCAATGATCACTCAAATGTGGTGATCTAACACTTGTGTGACACAGATGTGTAATGGAGGCAGGGGGATGATAGATTGAGAATGATACATTTGAGCTGTAACCAAACTAGTTTGCATTGCATGTTATATTATATTATATTATAAATACTGGTGCATAATCTTCACTAAAGACTTTGTCTTTTAATTTAGTCACGTTATATAAAACATAACATATCAATAAATATATCAAAAGTGTCACTGACAAAACCTTATTATTCAAATCAATTCAAATGTATTTGTATAGCGCTTTTCACAATACATATTGTTTCAAAGCAGTTTTACAGAAAGTGCATTTCAGAAATGTATAGAAAAAATACAGTTAGTTAATCATGTATTAATTTAATGTAAAATATTATCTTCTATTTTTAGTCTTAATTCCTCTAATCTCTACCAGTGGACGAAGAACTCAGATCTTTTTACTAAAGTAAAATTTAAAAAATCACAATGAAAACGTTTTTAATTACACATGTACAGTACTTTTATACTATTTTTAAATAAGTAGTAAGCAAAATGTACTAAACGTAAAACATAGTGTTATAATTATATAAAGTATTGCTTGTGTAACGAGACACAGTAGAAAAAGCGCCCGTTACAGAGCAGAATGGGGCAATGTTTCATCAACCAATTGCCTGGATTTAATAAATAAGAAGTAAATATAGCAGACAATAGATAATCTCGACACGGAGGCGCCGGCCGGCGCGTGAACTGCAACTCGTCTTATAAATTAACCAAAACTCAGCTGAAATATATCTATATTGAAATGTCTACTTTTAAACAGAACAATTCCAAACGAAAGACAGACTGCTCTCTGCTGTAATCCGCATCTGCATTTCTCTCTGGCCTGTTCACTGAAGATCGCGAGCCAGCGTCGTCAACTTTGCAGAGACACTGACTGAAAACACTTGTTTATTAATAAAACAATTTAAATGTCTCCTTGCTATATTTGATGTATTCAAAATCATTACTTATGCCAGTTCTTTGTGACAGCTTTTATGTGCTTTATTGGCAGCGCCACCCTTACATGAATCACCGCACCCGCATTTTTAAAAATATTCATTTATCGGCCATTATAAATGCCGATACCGATAGTTAGGAAAATGCCTAATATCGGCCGATAATATCGGCGCGCCGATATATCGGCCGGGCTCTAATATACAGTATATAGTTTCCTGAGGTGTGAGGTGTGAGGTGTACCGTATGTGTGATATCGTTCTCCAGCGGTTCTACTGAACTCTATAAAACACTGATTAATGATATTATGTATGAGGAATATACATTTCGGTAAGTTGTACTGTATCTTTCGACATATTGTTTATTGGTGTTTATTAAATATGAACTAGTCGTGAGGAGTAAGAGATGCTACGGCGATCTGTCACGTTCACAAGCGCCCAAACGCTATTGTTTGAATTTCGTAATAAAATTGACAGAATCCGAGTGTGTGAAAAGGATTGAGTTCAGTTTTAGACTGTGATCAGTGAAGTCGTGTGTGTTCTCGTTAATCTAATGACTCGTGTTTAATGATCTGTGTGTGTGTGTTTCTCAGATTACCCAGCAGCCTCAGCATGAATTACCTGCGCAGGCGTCTGTCGGACAGCAGCTTCGTGGCTAACCTGCCCAACGGCTACATGACGGAGAGATCCAGCAGCTCCAGCAGCTCTCCCGCGTCCCCGGCCACTGAGCGGCGACCTCTGACCCCGGCGACCCCGGCGACCCCAGCGACCCCGGCGACCCCGGCGACCCCAGCGACCCCGGGGTTCCTCAGCTCCTTCTCCAGCGTGGTGAAGACGGCTCAGATCGCTAGCGCTGTTCAGGCTAAAGCCGCCGCCGCTCCTGCTAAGCCTAGCGTACGCAAACCCAGAGTCCTGCTGGTCATCGACGACCCGCACACTGACTGGTGAGAGACTCAGTCAGAAATAAAAAAATCATGGATAATAATAAAATCTGAAAAAGTCATGGAAATTAATACAATTTAAAAAAATCATGGAAATTAATAAAATAAAAAAAATCATGGAAATTAATAAAATAAAATAAAAACATGGAAATTTATAAAATTTAAAAAAGAAATCATGGAATTTAATAAAATTTTAAAAATCATGGAAATTAATAAAATTTAAAAAAAGAAATCATGGAAATTAATAAAATAAAATAAAAATCATGGAAATGAATAAAATGTAAAAAAGAAATCATGGATATTAATAAAATCAGAAAAAATCATGAAAATGAATAAAATTTAAAAAAGAAATCATGGAAATGAATAAAATTAAAAAATTCATGGAAATTAATAAAAATTTAAAAAAGAAATCATGGATATTAATAAAATCTGAAAAAGTCATGGAAATGAATAAAATTTAAAAAAGAAATCATGGAAATTAATAAAATTACAAAAATCATAGAAATTAATAAAATTAAAAAATAAATCATGGAAATAAATACAATTTAAAAAAAATCACGGAAATGAATAAAATTTAAAAAAGAAATCATGGATATTAATAAAATCAGAAAAAATTATGAAAATGAATAAAATTTAAAAAATCATGGAAATTAATAAACATTTAAAAAAGAAATCATGGATATTAATAAAATCTGAAAAAGTCATGGAAATGAATAACATTTAAAAAAGAAATCATGGAAATTAATAAAATAAAAAAATCATGGAAATTAATCAAATTAAAAGAAATATCATGGATATCAATAAAATCTGAAAAAGTCATGGAAATGAATAAAATTTTAAAAAGAAATCATGGAAATTAATAAAATTACAAAAATCATGGAAATTAATAAAATGAAAAAATAAATCATGGAAATTAATACAATTTTAAAAATCATAGATAAATGAATAAAATCTGAAAAAATCATGCAAATTAAAAAATAAAATCTAATTTTTTTCTAGTTATGCCGAGCTCTGAAATGTTTTATTGAGTTGAAACTGCCAAAAGAAATTCCATAATATATATAAAAAAAATAAAAAAAATATTCCATAATAACAAACAAGTGGAAAAGTCATATAAATACATTATTGAACCCTGAAGAAATTAAATATGAAACTTAGATTTAAACTTAGATTAAAATGAATTTGATTAGAATTGAATAGAATCTATTTTTGCAAAGTGGTTCTGTGTGAGCAACAGAAGCTGAAGCACGACCTGTGTTTCACCACTAGAGGGAGTGAGAGTCCATCACAGACCAGCAGGTGGCGCTAGAGAAACACACATCAACACACACACACACACACACACACACGCACACACATTAACACACTACTCTTCATGAAAGCCGGCCTGTGAGTTAATGTGAGGCGCGTCATATAGAGATACACTGATCAGACGTTGATGTCTGGGAAACTCATCGTCTCGGCCGACGCTCTTATGAAGATCTGTGTGTGTGTGAGAGTGTGTGTGTGTGTGTGTGTGTGTGTGTGTGTGTGTGTGTGTGTGTGTGTGTGTGTGGGCATTCCTGAGTGCAGTCAGAGAGAGTCTGGGAGACTCGGACTCGTTCCCAGCGCTGATGATCGGAGTGAGGACACAAACACAGCTTCTGTCACAGCGCCTGTCTCTACATTGAATTTAATGAATAATATTATAACAAAAATACATAATAAAATTATACTAAAATAAATTATAGCAAATTAACTCTCACTCTCTCTCTCTCTCTCTCTCTCTCTCTCTCTCTCTCTCTCTCTCTCTCTCTCTCTCTCTCTCTCTCTCTCTCTCGCAGAATCCCTCTGAGTTTCTACCTCTGCTGTTTCCATGTCAGAGAGTCTAAGATTGATACTAATAAATAGTCGATAAATAAATAATAATAGCAAAATATGTGTATAATAAATAAAATATAAGGAATAATATAGATAACGAAAATGTAAGTAGAATAAAGAATTTATAATAATATTATTAATAATAATAAACAATAATAAAATAAATAATATTTATCAATTAAATGTAATGAATATTATAACAAAAATACATAATAAAATTGTACTAAAATAAATAATAGCAAAATTGAATATAATGAATAATAATATTATAACAAAATAACAAAAATACTTTAAATTAATTAAATTAATAATACAATCTGAAAAGTCATGGAAATTAATAATGTAAACTAAAAAAGTCATGGAAATGAATAAAATCTAATAAAATAAAATAAATTAAAACATATTTATCAATAAAATACAATAATAATAATAACAAAATAAAATAATTTAACCCCTTAAGTGTCACAGGCCCACTGGTGGGCCCAAATCCTTTACATTTTTAAAACAGCAATATCCTATACTAAACCTAAACTAATCTTGACAAACTATATATCATTTGAAAGCTTACAATCTCTAGTTTCCATATTTGGTGATTGCTGATAAATAAATTACAGAGGAGCCGTAATTTATCAATTTGCAACAAGAATATTTTCATACTCCTAAGGCGTGATTAGACCTTTATTTTGAAATAGTGATGAACATGAAAAATCATGAAAGAAGGGTAGAAACCTCAGTTTGTTTTCATGCCAAGAGTTCAAAAGATAGCATCCATTCAATTATTTAAAAAAAAAGGTCTGAATTTTTTTTAAATATAAAGAAAAAAATTATATGATGTGGCAGGAAGCTAAAACGCACATGCGTGTTTTTTTATGTTTCTTAAAGGTTGAAATCTTCTCAAAATCTGCCAAACTTCTCATATTACTTCTGAATAGGATGTCTACTTCATAAATTGTATGAAAATTGTGGAAATAATGGTTCACATCACTCAAAACACATTTGGAAATGGAGGCGCCCTTATATGGGCAGTAATGGAGTCTGGTTGTCATCTAGTGAAAAAGTTTGGTACTGCGCCCAAACAAAATCTTACTGAAAGCTCATTTTTTGAGATATCAACCTAAAATTTGAAACACAACTTGTTCAGATTTTTGGCTTTGATTTTTTTGCAGTTTTAGAGTCGCCCATGTTTTGAAAATATATATTTTATATAAAATATGAATAATTACATTTTTTACATTGTACATTTTCATAAACTCAAACTTCTATAACTTTTTTTCTGTTTCACTTTCTTAATTTATTTCACTTCTACAAAAATCTGCCAAATGTCTTCTTTAAAACAAGACCAATCTTACATCTATATTCCAAAGCATTCTTGAATTACAACCATTTAAGTTCGAAATGTGCATTTTCATGTATATTCAAAAAAAGGGGAGTGACACTTATAACAGTAAATAATAAATATAAAATAATAAATAAATAAATTATAAAGATAATATTAAAATAATGACTTAATTAATAATAAATATTAAATTATAATAACATCAATAAATAATAACTTACAAATTAAATTAATAATAATAATAATTACAAAATGAACAAATAAAATAATTTATATAATAATAAATATACATATAAAATAATAATTAAATAAACTGTAATTTATTAATAGAATATAATAAATAATACAAATATTACTTTATGACACTATAATTTATAATAAATAATAATAACATCAATAAATAATCTTTTATAAATATAATAATATTATAAATAATAAGAACTCTATGAGGATTAACTCTAATGCTCCAGTGTTTTCTGTCCTCCAAGGTCAAAGTCACTGAAGTTGAACGAGTAGCCTGAATTCTTTTAGTTTTGAATTGTTTGTTTAAAGACATTTCAAGCTTTCTATATATAGATATATTTCTCATGTCTGTGAGGCATTCGCTGAGTTTCGGTTAGTTTATGACGAGATGCTCCAGTTCACGCGCAACAAGTGACCGCGCCGGCGCCTCCATGTCATGATTATATTGTCTGCTATATTTGCTTCTTATTTATTAACTCCAGGCAATTGGTTGATAAAAAAATTATGCATTATGCATTTATGACATTATATATGGCATTATGCATAGTAGAACTTTATGTAGGCCTACACATTTAGGAACAGATATTGGGTTCTGCCCAAAGTCAAGCAACATAATAGTAACGAGTAACATAAAAAGTTACTTTCTATATGGGGTAACTAAGTAAAGTAGCGGATTACTTTTTTTTAAAAAGTACACTACACTACTTTTTAAAAGTAACTTCCCCAACACTGGTAACAGACTGTATGACACTGAGCAGATCGGCTCGAGATTATCCGGTGTTTGAGTGTTTACTGTCACATTATCCATGTTTTACAGGGCCAAGTACTTCAGGGGAAGGAAGCTGAACGGAGAGTGCGAGATCCGTGTGGAGCAGGTGAGAAACCGAGAGCCGAGTCAGTGATCCAGATGTTCACGTGGCGTCTAGACCTGCGATAACATCTGTCCCGCACATCTGTGAGCCGTCGCTGTGCTTCACAAACACACACCCTGCATCTCACACACACGATCCCGGCGGCCACAGAGCCAGAAGGCCTCTGAAAACACCGTATTTACATTTCATCATATTGACGTAATCAGAGTCTGTGATCAGAATGATCTGTTTAATTCCTTCCAGAAGTGTCTCACACGAGTGTGTTCCCGAACGCTGAGACACACTCATTTAATGGGCACATATTATGCAAAATTCACTGTTACGTGGTGTTTGAGCATACATGTGTGTTAGCAGTGTGTGTACACAACCACCCTATAATGATAAAAATCCACCAAGGGCTTTTTAAAAATCCCCATAAATCATAAGCAGTGTCTGTGATGTCACTTCTGCACAAGCCCCGCCCACAACTGTTGACTGACACTGCTGTATTAGCATAGCCCCGCCCTGAGTGAGCTGTACACACACACACTATGGAAGTAAAATAATGGCAAATGTTTTTGAAACAAAAAAGCTTGTTGAATTGCTTGCGTTTTAATGGGCTGAAATTCAACATGGTTGTATATTTAAGTTATGAATATTTCAATAATTCAAAACATTTCGCACACATTTTCATTATTAAAAATTCAATAATCCATTTTTTTAACTTTCAGATTTCACTTTCAAAATGTTCATTCCGTTTAAAAAAATACAACCTATAATATTTAACCGGCAATTTTCGGTCCATTTTATTTTCGTTTTACAAAATCGCTTCCACAAATTCAGTGTTTCAAATTCGACTCGAACTCCACATTTCACATCGGGGAAGCACAGGAATATCAGTAGATTGCCGATTCATAATCTCCATCTGCTGTTAGTGGACTTTGTAATTCCGACCGCTGACATTTCAGTTTGTCTGTTGCACGAGCTCTTGAAGCCCCGCCCTCTTCCTGAAAGGGGGCGGGGAGCAGCAGCTCATTTGCATTTAAAGACACACACAGAAAAACGGCGTGTTTTTGATCACCCTCAAAAAGTGGCAATTTTAACATGCTATAACAAATGATATTTTCAGCTAGACCTTCACTAAACACTCTGGGGACATCAGAGACTTATTCTACATCTTGCAAAAAGGGGCGTTATCGGTTCAGCTTTAGATGTAAACAGAGCTCGGGTTCAGGCGAGTTTATCTCCGGATAAGGCTTGTTCTGCAGGCGGAGGTTTATCTGCTGCCCTTAATAACACACTCCACAGACCCGCCAGACCCACAACAGAGGCTTTGTGCTCCTCAGGCCTGTGATGTTCTCCTGATGTTCTCCAGCGTCTCGGCACATCTGGATCCCGTCTGACGCTCCAGATGCTTGTCCTCGTGTCCCTTCTGACGCTCAGTTCAAACATTATTCACCTTCTTCATGACTTCAGAGTAGAGTATTTATCGTAAAACTAATTTTTTTTAGTATTGAATAGTATTATCGTATAACTAAAACTCAATCCATACGAAACATTTTCACTACTTGACATAGAAACTAAAATAACTTGTTTATTTGGCTGTTTTTCTGAGCTGATTACGTCTCATTTCACCACTCTGTTTGTACAGATATTATGATGATGTTGAGATTATTTTGTCCTGTGTGTGTGTGTGTGTGTGTGTGTGTGTGTGTGTGTGTGTGTGTGTGTGAGCTCTGGTCATGTGATCGGGTGAAAGGCACCTTGCATTCTTCACCCTAATGACACCCATTAGCTTCGGCTCCAAAAATACCTGCTAGGATTCCAGATGGATCATGACGCCAGCGCAGACTTGGAAAGCACTGTGGACTGTGTGTGTGTGTGTGTGTGTGTGTGACTTTTTTATAATGTGTTTCTGAAAGAGTGAGTCTCTTCTGCTCACAAAGGCTGCATTTATTTGATCAAAAATACAGTAAAAACAGTGAAATATTATTATGATGTAAATCATCTGTTTTTAATGTGAATATACAGTAAAGTGTAATTTATTCCTGTGATCAAAGCTGAATTTTCAGCATCATTACTCCAGTCTTCAGTGTCACATGATCCTTCAGAAATCACTCTAATATGAGGATCTGATGCTCAAGACACAGTTATGATTATTATCAGTGTTGAAAACAGTTAAGTTTTTTGTGGAAACTGATACTGAATAGAAAGTTCAAGAAAATTAAGGAGAAAATCCTGTTTTTCATGTTTTTGAGAGCGGGATCTATTAGATATGAAAAAAAAAAAGAATATAGGATGAAAATACTTCATTTCCCAGAATGCATCACCTGTGTGGCAGTTCACTTAATTCTTCTCCAGTTCGACCATTTCAAGCATCAGTTCGCACTAATACACTCTTCATTAGAGTTAACGAGTGTGTGTTTGGATGGGCGCAGATCTAGCGTTTGTCTCTTGGACTTTCTCCTGTTTTTCTCTCCCAGCAAGAGAAGCCTGAATGCGAGACCGTAACCATGGCAACCCAGTCTGGCACGCCTCCCGTGCTCTCGGCCAATCGAGTGCCTTCATGCCAGCCGACCAATAGGAGTGACTTATGTGTGTGTCCTCTAACTGCTGTTTGACCTTCGTGTGTGTGCGTGTGTGTGAGTGTGAGTGAGTGAGTGAGTGTGTGTGTGTGTGTGTGTGTGTGTGTGTGTGTCGACGTCCACGTCCTTGAATAGGAAAGCGTATAGCGCGACTTAAAGCGTTTCTTATCATTCAGGGTTGTAAAAAAAAAAAAAAAAAAAAACTGTAAATGAATCAAATGGATCATTTATAATGTTACAAAAGATTCTGTTTCAAATAAATGCTGTTCTTTTGAACTTTTAATTAATCAAAGAATCCTAAAAAATAAATAAATTACACTTTACTATATTCACATAGAAAACAGCTGTTTTACATTATAATAATATTTCACTGTTTTATTCTGTATTTTTGATCGAAACCAATCCCAAATTTTGGAGCTTCTATTTGATGTTACCTTTATAACTAACTGTTTGCCACGAATGGCTGTTTTATTTTGCTGTTTTATATGGTGTAAAAATATAAATATAAAAATTTTTTGGCTCTTAATAGTTAAGTTAATGTGTGACGCTGGTTTACGGCATCAAAATATTGAAATCTCATATCTGTGATTCTGTGCCTTCAAAAAGCTGATTTATAGTTGTGATTAAACCGCTGGAACAGCCGATCAATAGCCTGAGTTTGGGGGCGGGGCAATCTGACTGACCAATGGAAACCTGTTTGAAAACACTCATTATTTTATGTTTTCTTCTCCGTTTCTTCGGCTCAGTGTGACTCTGTGCCTCACTGATAGGCGTTTCTTGATTTTAATGAGTGACCAACTCAGATTAGGTGCAAGTTTTGTCATATTTGATGCGTTTGACTCTGATAAGCCTGTGGTGTGTGTTTCAGGCCGAGTTTTCTGAGCTCAATCTGGCGTCGTACGTGAACTCGGGCTGTACGGTGGACATGCAGGTCAACCGAGGAGGAACCAAAGTCGTCAGGTATGAAGTCTCCTCGTATATAACACTCTGCCAGTCAAAAGCTGCTTTTAATGTTTGTTTAATGTTGTAAGATTTTTAATGTTTTAAAAAGAAGTCTCTTCTGCTCACCAAGGCTGCATTTATTAGATTAAAAATACAAAAAAAAACACACACAAAAAAACCATTAATATTGTTAAATATTCTAGAGTTTATTTTAATTTTCTATTTTTATATATTTTAAAATGTAATTTATTCCTGTGATCAAAGCTGAATTTTTAGCATCATTAATCATGCAAACTTTTATGATTATTATCAGTGTTGAAAACTGTTATTTACACTTTTATTTCAGGATTCTTTGATGAATATAAAGTCCAAAAGAACAGCATTTATCTAAAATAAAATCTTGTGTAACATTATAAATGTCTTTACTGTCGCTTTTGATCAATTTAATTCATCCTTGATGAATAAAAGTATTGATTTATTTTATTTATTTCCCCCAAAAAATAAAACTAGAACTTTCTATTCATCAAAGAATCCTGAAATAAAAGTGTAAATAACTGTTTTCAACACTGATAATAATCATAACTGTGTCTTGAGCATCAGATCCTCATATTAGAGTGATTTCTGAAGGATCATGTGACACTGAAGACTGGAGTAATGATGCTGGAAATTCAGCTTTGATCACAGGAATAAATTACACTTTACTGTATATTCACATAGAAAACAGCTGATTTACACTGGAGTAATATTTCACAATATTACTGATTTTTTTTGTATTTTTAATCAAGTAAATGCAGCCTTGGTGAGCAGAAGAGACTTCTTTTAAAAACATTAACAATCTCACCGATGCGGAGCGTTTGGCTGGAAGTGTGCGACTGCTGTAATATCTGTTGTGATTAAAGTCTCACACTGGCTCTCTGTGTCCCACTGAAGAACAATAAACCGCTGGTGTGATTTGAGACGTAGTATTAATAAACCTCTTGATGAAAACACATACTACAGTCTGTAGTTCCTCACACACACACACACACACACAGATGTCCATCATCTGCCAAACACTTGGAGTCAGTGTGATTATTTATACCTGCCTCACTTAACCAGACATCTTATACTAGTTTAATAAAAGCCACTATTAGTAGTTGTGGTGTAATTCAGTCTCTCAGTCAAAAGTCGGGCCAGCTGCAGTTATTTGATCAAAAATACAGTAAACACAGTGAAATATTGTTCTAATGTAAATCATCTGTTTTCTATGTGAATATACAGTAAAGTGTAATTTATTCCTGTGATCAAAACTGAATTTCCAGCATCATTACTCCAGTCTTCAGTGTCACATGATCCTTCAGAAATCACTCTAATATGAGGATCTGATGCTCAAGACACAGTTATGATTATTATCAGTGTTGAAAACAGTTAAGTTTTTTGTGGAAACTGATACTGAATAGAAAGTTCAAGAAAATTAAGGAGAAAATCCTGTTTTTCATGTTTTTGAGAGCGGGATCTATTAGATATGAAAAAAAAAAAGAATATAGGATGAAAATTTTTATTTCTCAGGATTCTTTGATGAATATAAAGTTCAAAAGAACAGCATTTATCTGAAATAGAATCTTCTGTAACATTATAAATGTCTTTACTGTCGCTTTGGATCAATTGAACGCGTCCTTGATGAATTAAAGTATTAATTTCTGAGGGATAGTGAACAAAAGCAAAACAATTTTACACACTGAAAGCAGCTCATTTTCTGCTCACATTTCTGAGATGCTGCCATGCAAAAACACAATTCCTGTTCTTTATAAGTGTTTTTGTCTTGATTTCAAGGTAAAGTATCCTTGGAATAAGGACGATACGATATCAAGACTTGTTTTCAAAGATTGTGTGTTTAATATCTGTGTTTTGTCTTTCTGCACTGGCAGATTATTCACTTGTTTTAACTTGTTTGCATTTAAACAGGTGAAAAAATCAGTACAGCAAGACAAAACACACACGTATCAATGAGACAATCTTTGCAAATCTGAGTATGATAAGTAAATGTATCTTGTTTTAAAAAAATTGCATTTAAAAAAAAACTATTTCAATGACTGGAGAAAATGGGTGATGATAAACACACTGGTCAGACTGAATGTAGATGTTTGGATTCTGAGTCTCTGACGTGGATCTTCATAATGGTGTTTTTGTGCGTTTATCTGTGTGTTTCTCAGCACATGTCCGCGCAGTGACAGATATGATGGTGCAGCTGCTGCGGTCCGTCTCAATCGGATCATTTGCTGCACATTCTTCTGCGTTCCTCGAACACACAGGCGCTTTTAAGTGCTTCTGTTCAGTCTGTAATCATCATCTGCTCTTTCTATTTCTAGATACTTTCAAAAAAGATTGAATCCAAAATGTTGTGATAGTTTAGCATAATGAGAGATTTGTAAGCAATTTAAAAGGCGGGTCACTTTTGACCCGGAACACCAAAGTAGGTTTTTCAGCACAAGGGATAACAGTAATAATGACGGCGCTGTTAAACCAGCAGTTAAATAGCGTTCAGGTGCTTTAACTAGCGTTCAGATGCTTAAACCAGCAGTTAACTAGCGTTCAGACGCTTAAACCAGCAGTTAACTAGTGTTCAGATGCTTAAACCAGCAGTTAACTAGCGTTCAGACGCTTAAACCAGCAGTTAACTAGCGTTCAGACGCCTAAACCAGCAGTTAACTAGCGTTCAGACGCTTAAACCTACAGTTAACTAGCGTTCAGACGCTTAAACCAGCAGTTAACTAGCGTTCAGATACCTAAACCAGCAGTTAACTAGCGTTCAGATACCTAAACCAGCAGTTAACTGGCGTTCAGACGCTTAAACCAGCAGTTAACTAGCGTTCAGACGCTTAAACCAGCAGTTAACTAGCGTTCAGACGCTTAAACCAGCAGTTAACTAGCGTTCAGACGCTTAAACCAGCAGTTAACTAGCGTTCAGACGCTTAAACCAGCAGTTAACTAGCGCTCAGATGCTTAAACCAGCAGTTAACTAGCGTTCAGATACCTAAACCAGCAGTTAACTAGCGTTCAGATACCTAAACCAGCAGTTAACTGGCGTTCAGACGCTTAAACCAGCAGTTAACTAGCGTTCAGATACCTAAACCAGCAGTTAACTAGCGTTCAGATACCTAAACCAGCAGTTAACTGGCGTTCAGACGCTTAAACCAGCAGTTAACTAGCGTTCAGACGCCTAAACCAGCAGTTAACTAGTGTTCAGACGCTTAAACCAGCAGTTAACTAGCGTTCAGACGCCTAAACCAGCAGTTAACTAGCGTTCAGACGCTTAAACCAGCAGTTAACTAGCGTTCAGACGCTTAAACCAGCAGTTAACTAGCGTTCAGATACCTAAACCAGCAGTTAACTAGCGTTCAGATACCTAAACCAGCAGTTAACTGGCGTTCAGACGCTTAAACCAGCAGTTAACTAGCGATCAGACGCCTAAACCAGCAGTTAACTAGTGTTCAGACGCTTAAACCAGCAGTTAACTAGCGTTCAGACGCCTAAACCAGCAGTTAACTAGTGTTCAGACGCTTAAACCAGCAGTTAACTAGCGTTCAGACGCTTAAACCAGCAGTTAACTAGCGTTCAGATACCTAATAGCGTTCAGATACCTAAACCAGCAGTTAACTAGTGTTCAGACGCTTAAACCAGCAGTTAACTAGTGTTCAGACGCTTAAACCAGCAGTTAACTAGCGTTCAGACGCTTAAACCAGCAGTTAACTAGCGTTCAGACGCCTAAACCAGCAGTTAACTAGCGTTCAGATACCTAAACCAGCAGTTAACTAGCGTTCAGATACCTAAACCAACAGTTAATTAGCGTTCAGATGCTTAAACCAGCAGTTAACTAGCGTTCAGACGCCTAAACCAGCAGTTAACTAGTGTTCAGACGCTTAAACCAGCAGTTAACTAGCGTTCAGACGCCTAAACCAGCAGTTAACTAGTGTTCAGACGCTTAAACCAGCAGTTAACTAGCGTTCAGACGCTTAAACCAGCAGTTAACTAGCGTTCAGATACCTAATAGCGTTCAGATACCTAAACCAGCAGTCAACTAGCGTTCAGACGCTTAAACCAGCAGTTAACTAGCGTTCAGACGCCTAAACCAGCAGTTAACTAGCGTTCAGATACCTAAACCAACAGTTAATTAGCGTTCAGATGCTTAAACCAGCAGTTAACTAGCGTTCAGACAACAGTTAACTAGTTTAGTAGACGTGATCCTCATTTATACTCGTAAATGAAATGCTTTTAAATGATTCTGTGCGTCCCTGATTTAGTTCTTCTCTCTCCAGATCGTTCAAGCCAGATTTTGTGCTGGTCCGCCAGCACGCCTACAGCATGACCCCGGGCGAGGACTTCCGGAGCCTCGTGATCGGCCTGCACTACGGGGCCGTTCCCAGCGTCAACTCGCTCTTCTCCATCTATAACTTCTGCAGCAAACCCTGGGTGGTGCGTTTCCCGTTTACTATCCGTTAACACCGAGAGAGCAGTCACACAGCCAGAGTGTGTTACACAGCTAAAGTTCTCAATTTAAATTTATATGAAATATTATTAAAAAATATTTCTTTCCCCAAAGACTATTTATTATAAAGACCATACATTATCAATATATTTTCTACATTAGGTAACATGAAATAAACCATTCATTAATCTAAGTTAATGTTAATTTTACTAATACATATTTAAATCAAAAGTTGTATCTGTTAATATTACTTAAAAGCTAAAATGGCCTAAGAATGAACAGTTGTATTTTTATTTACTAACATAAACAAAGAATGGTGAATATTGTATTAAATGTATTTGTATTTGTTAGTTAATGTTAGTGCATAAATCGTTAACTAATGGAAACTTATTGTAAAATCTTACTAAAATACTTTATAGGCTTCAAGTAAAGTGTTACCAAAGTCGTTTTAGAGGCGGAGTGAGTTTTGATGGAAGATGATGAAGAAAAACTTTGTGTTCCTAATAATAATGAATCTCTCAGGAACATAAAACCGCTTGTGTTGATGTGTGTTTGTGTCGTCCTTCTGCAGTTCTCTCACATGATCAAGCTCTATCAGAGTCTGGGTCCAGAGAAGTTCCCGCTCAATGAGCAAACCTTCTTCCCCAACCACACACAGATGGTGAGTCACCGCTTTAACTACTTTAACTATAGTCCTCCGAGAACAACAATGACGAGATCGAGTCACAGAGCCATTTTCACAATCTTTATTATAAAAATATAAAACAGAGAAATTAAAAATCGAAACATTCTTCGAAAAGCTGCTAATTGAAAAATGGTAATCTCTCTCTCTCTCTCTCTCTCTCACACACACACACACTTTACGCAAGCTTTCAGATTCTTCAATGAGAGTAAAACAGGTCTGATCTGAGCAGAAAGTTTGTGTTACGTAGACAAAATATTGTTATAAAAACTTGAGTTGGAGGCTGAGACCGAACACTAGTGTTCAGATGCTTAAACCAGCCGTTAACTAGCGTTCAGACGCTTAAACCAGCAGTTAACTAGCGTTTAGACGCTTAAACCCGCAGTTAACTAGCGTTCAGATGCTTAAACCAGCAGTTAACTAGCGTTCAGACGCTTAAACCCGCAGTTAACTAGCGTTCAAGTGCTTAAACCAGCAGTTAACTAGTGTTCAGACGCTTAAACCAGCAGTTAACTAGCGTTCAGACGCCTAAACCAGCAGTTAACTAGCGTTCAGACGCTTAAACCACTTAAACCAGCAGTTAACTAGCGTTCAAGTGCTTAAACCAGCAGTTAACGCGTTCAGACGCTTAAACCAGCAGTTAACTAGCGTTCAGACGCCTAAACCAGCAGTTAACTAGCGTTCAGACGCCTAAACCAGCAGTTAACTAGCGTTCAGACGCCTAAACCAGCAGTTAACTAGCGTTCAGACGCCTAAACCAGCAGTTAACTAGCGTTCAGACACCTAAACCAGCAGATAACTAGCGTTCAGACGCCTAAACCAGCAGATAACTAGCGTCCAGACGCCTAAACCAGCAGTTAACTAGCGTTCAGACGCCTAAACCAGCAGTTAACTAGCGTTCAGACGCCTAAACCAGCAGTTAACTAGCGTTCAGACGCCTAAACAGCAGTTAACTAGCGTTCAGACGCCTAAACCAGCAGATAACTAGCGTTCAGACGCCTAAACCAGCAGTTAACTAGCGTTCAGACGCTTAAACCAGCAGTTAACTGCAGTTAACTAGCGTTCAGACGCTTAAACCAGCAGTTAACTAGCGTTCAGACGCTTAAACCAGCAGTTAACTAGTGTTCAGATGCTTAAACCAGCAGTTAACTAGCGTTCAGACGCCTAAACCAGCAGTTAACTAGTGTTCAGATGCTTAAACCAGCAGTTAACTAGCGTTCAGACGCCTAAACCAGCAGTTAACTAGCGTTCAGACGCCTAAACCAGCAGTTAACTAGCGTTCAGACGCCTAAACCAGCAGTTAACTAGCGTTCAGATGCTTAAACCAGCAGTTAACTAGCGTTCAGTCGCTTAAACCAGCAGTTAACTAGCGTTCAGACGCTTAAACCAGCAGTTAACTAGCGTTCAGACGCCTAAACCAGCAGTTAACTAGCGTTCAGACGCTTAAACCAGCAGTTAACTAGCGTTCAGACGCCTAAACCAGCAGTTAACTAGCGTTCAGACGACTAAACCAGCAGTTAACTAGCGTTCAGACGCTTAAACCAGCAGTTAACTAGCGTTCAGACGCCTAAACCAGCAGTTAACTAGCGTTCAGACGCCTAAACAGCAGTTAACTAGCGTTCAGACGCCTAAACCAGCAGTTAACTAGCGTTCAGACGCCTAAACCAGCAGTTAACTAGCGTTCAGACGCCTAAACCAGCAGTTAACTAGCGTTCAGACGCCTAAACCAGCAGTTAACTAGCGTTCAGACGCTTAAACCAGCAGTTAACTGCAGTTAACTAGCGTTCAGACGCTTAAACCAGCAGTTAACTAGTGTTCAGATGCTTAAACCAGCAGTTAACTAGCGTTCAGACGCCTAAACCAGCAGTTAACTAGTGTTCAGATGCTTAAACCAGCAGTTAACTAGCGTTCAGACGCCTAAACCAGCAGTTAACTAGCGTTCAGACGCCTAAACCAGCAGTTAACTAGCGTTCAGACGCCTAAACCAGCAGTTAACTAGCGTTCAGATGCTTAAACCAGCAGTTAACTAGTGTTCAGTCGCTTAAACCAGCAGTTAACTAGCGTTCAGACGCTTAAACCAGCAGTTAACTAGCGTTCAGACGCCTAAACCAGCAGTTAACTAGCGTTCAGACGCTTAAACCAGCAGTTAACTAGCGTTCAGACGCTTAAACCAGCAGTTAACTAGCGTTCAGACGCCTAAACCAGCAGTTAACTAGTGTTCAGACGCCTAAACCAGCAGTTAACTAGCGTTCAGACGCTTAAACCAGCAGTTAACTAGTGTTCAGATGCCTAAACCACCAGTTAGCTAGCGTTCAGACGCTTAAACCAGCAGTTAACTAGCGTTCAGACACTTAAACCAGCAGTTAACTAGTGTTCAGACGCCTAAACTAGCAGTTAACTAGCGTTCAGACGCTTAAACCAGCAGTTAACTAGTGTTCAGATACCTAAACCATCAGTTAACTAGCACTAGCGTTCAGACGCCTAAACCAGCAGTTAACTAGCGTTCAGACACTTAAACAGCGTTCAGACGCCTAAACCAGCAGTTAACTAGCGTTCAGACGCCTAAACCAGCAGTTAACTAGCGTTCAGACGCTTAAACCAGCAGTTAACTAGCGTTCAGACGCTTAAACCAGCAGTTAACTAGTGTTCAGATACCTAAACCAGCAGTCTAGCGTTCAGACGCCTAAACCAGCAGTTAACTAGTGTTCAGATGCCTAAACCACCAGTTAGCTAGCGTTCAGACGCTTAAACCAGCAGTTAACTAGCACTAGCGTTCAGACGCCTAAACCAGCAGTTAACTAGCGTTCAGGTGTTTTTCCGTCTGATCTCAGCCTCCAACTGAGGAATGGAGCAGAAATTCTGATGAAATTAACATGAGTTTAGTGGTAAAAAATGATTATTCTAGCAGTTCTGATCTGATTTACTTCAATATCGATGCGATTATTGTGTTTGATTCATATTCAGTACCCTCAGAATCAGGATGAATGTTTACTCTTCCATTTAGAAAATGGATCGACGAAGCATTAGATTTCTCTCATCAGCGCGGTCTAGATGTAGAAAAGACATGGATATGAAGATGATTTATCTACTGATTATAATCTTTGTTTTAAAATAATAAAAAAATACTACTCACAATTTCATAGCTTATATCATAAACAGCAAGAAGGAAAGAGTCAAACGCACGGATCGCTCTTCGTTTGTGCTGGAACGAGCATCATAAATATATACCGAACAGTATAAATCTGGCACATGACATTTATCTGCGTACATATACAATTTATATCATTTAAATCATGTTTAAAAGCAATACAGCACTATAAAAGAGCGGTATTATTGCATTCATAAATTACTTCATATCTCAGTGGGTCGTGTTAATAAGGATCAGTTCGTTTCGTTTGGGGTTACCCAGCTAACAGGGAACGCTCTCTCAACGTCATGAACAAACGCTCTTACAACATTAATAGAACGTTCGTTCAAAGTTATCTTCTCTTTAATACTGTTCTCAAGCACAAAAGCGTTCTTTATACAGTCAAACCTACACTTATTCACACTCCTTCAACATTATCAGTTTATTCGCTATAGTTAGAAAATGGTGATAAACATGAGCAGAACTCAGTGGATGTTTGACTGGTTTTGTCCGTCCTTCTGTTAGACTCTCACACATGAGTTATGTTGAATATCTGTCAGCTGTTAAATTTAACTCCACAATTAGATAATACCAGTTTAGCTCAACCAGTGACCAAGCAATGCTTCATGTTGTTCAGTGTGTGTGTAAAAAGAGCATTAGCAGTTACAGAAAACACACTGAAGAAAACATGATCAGCTCAAAGTGGAGGAATCATTGTTACTGGTAGTCACTGGATGAAGAATATTTGTGTGTAATATGTCACAGTTTACTTTATTTTGCTCTCCTCACTTACATAATGAACTATAGAGTCCTGCACACACTAGTAAAACAAAATATAACAAATTATATCTGGTGTCTGAATAATGTTTGGTTTGACTGTAGTATTTTTTTAATTAAACATTTCATTTGGACGTTTGTTTTTAAATGTAACGTTTTTTAAATGTTGCAACTTGTTTCAGAACGTTCATGTTTGAAGAATGATACAATGTTAATGTTCCCTTAACGTTTAAAAAAACTGGACGTTCGTGGAACATTATCGTTCTCATAACGTAATGGCAACGTTAGCGAAACGTTATAAACAAACGTTCTTCCAGTAACATTAACAGAACGTTCGTTCAAAGTTATCTGCTTATTAATAATGTTCTCAAAACTTTAGTGAAAAAATATTCTCTATTCATTGAGTTTGTTTTTAATTAACGTAACGTTTTTATCTGAAATGTTTGTTTTTAAATGTAACGTTTTTTTTAAACTTGTTTCAGAACGTTCAGATTCAAAAGGACCGTTCCATAATGTTTGAAGAATGATACAATTTTAACGCTTTTTTTAAACGTTTAAACGTCACGGAACATTAGCGTTAGCGAAACGTTCTTCGAACATGTTTTAGTTAGCTGGGTAATCGCTCCAGGCCTCACGTTTCATCTAATTGACGTGACCCGTTGCTGAACACACACGTGATCTGATGTGGGGCAGTTAGTTATCGGGGGTCAGGGCGGGGTCAGGGGTCAGGGTTCAGGGGTCGGTGGTGTTGATGGTCACTTTGTCGCGCGTGGTCATCCCTCGGTACCAGCTGCAATAACCCTCTTTCTGCTGAATACAGGCGTAGTGTCGGGACTGATACCCGGGGTATCCGAAGTGGGACAACATGTCGGTCCACAGGCACTCGTGTTTCGAGGTCACGAAACAGGGCAGGAAGTGGCACGGCTTAATCTGCAAACAGAGGAAAGTGTGTGTCAAGTCAAGTCAGCTTTATTTACAACACAGAGTGTTTCAAAGCAGCTTTACAGAGATTACAGGACAATAATGCAACAAAGTTTGTTTCTAGAAGAAAATAGCATGGTTCATTTTTGTTGTAAACGAAATTCGTCTAGTGACGTGCTGCCAAGATGGCGACGGCAGGCTCCGCCCACTTTGGGCTTCAGAAACACTACGCGTGACGTCACACTTATTATTATACAGTCTATGGTTGAAACTGGCGGTTATGGGAAGGGGCGGGACATTTTCCAAACACACTTGAAGCGCTCGGCCAATCACAACACACTGCTCCGGCCGACCAATCAGAGCACAGTGTGCTTTCAGAGGGAGGGGCTTCATAGAGACAGGAAGTAAACAGAGCGTTACTGACAGACTGGGAAGAGAGGAGCCGCAACAATGGAGAATATGAGGAGAATAATCAACATTCAAGCGGATAAAACGTTTTGTTTCGGTCAAAACCTGTATTATTTGAACTATAAAGTTATTTTATGGATTGGGATGTTAGACTTAGCTCTACCCACCCATGCGTTATTCATTTTATTTGTCTTTTATTGGTCTTCTATAAAACCCAGCAGCTCCTGCCTTCATTTCAGTGCTCGCGTTTGCTTTTGAAACGCGTACGAGTGAAACTAGGCGGATTGGAAGGCATCTCAGAGCTGGTGAATAACCGTTTCCAGGTGTTTCATGAATGCAGGTCATTCAGAAGCGAATGCTCTGTAACCCCCGAGAGCGTCTGCCGTCATTAAGTCTTTATGGAGACGCACTTGTTATCTGTGAACAAATATGCCTGAATTTTCTTTAACCGTCAGTCAGTGGTGTTTAAGGAAGACTGAAGCGTTTGGTTTTCCATTCCTAAGCGAACTGTATGTCTGCATCGTTAAATCAAATTGAGTAATCAGAAAGCATGTCTAATTATTTGAAATCAGACTGTCATTAAAAAAAAAAAATCACATTTTTAGGGCCATTTCATTTTCCTAAATTCTGCGTCGTCCGTTTTCATGCCATTTCTGTGAGTTCTTGTTAAATTTTAATAATCAAAAAAGTGTTTTTTAGGAATTCTGTGTTCATTATCATCATAATACCACATGATTGTGCTTTAACTCGTGCCGTCACGCGTGTTTAGCGATGCACCGATGGGCGGCGCTCGGATCCAGTGATGATCTGTGGTTCTGTGTCTCAGATCTGAGTCCAAACCGGTTTGAGTTTGGCTTCTGAACCAGCGGTTTAATCCTGGTGCCAAACATCTGGATCCTGTGTGGATCATGGGAAGGCAGCAGCTCATGGAGGTTATGTGATGGATGACATTACCCAGCATGCAATAGCCTTCATTTCCCCACCTAGGTTTACTATAGACCCGGCTGTGAGTAACACACTTCTGGTGACTTTGGTTACATGTCGTTTTAGCCAAAATAACTTGCGAGATGTATGATATTCCATCATGTAAGAAAAGCTGTTTGGTTTCATTTCTTCACGTATTTCATTTCTTTATCTAATTGATGACGAGTCTATTTTTTGGGCGATGGTTTAGACGTCACTGACAGCCCAAAGTTTGCCTTGTTTTAGCCTAGATATTTGGACGGATATTAGATAGATAGTTTTATATAATACCATGTCAGCATCTAAGGCTATTTTCATGGCAAAAATTAAAATATCATATAAATACAATAAAACCAAGCAAACAAACACAACAAGTCTTTTTAAATTAACAGATGATAAAAATCCAAACCCTTTTCAGGCATAATCTTACTAAATAAGTGAAATAACTTCATAAAAGAGCATTCTACTTGTGTTAAACCCAGGACAGTCCAATAAAAGATGTTTACCAGAGAGGGGAGTCTTACAAAACATGCATAAAGAGTCTAACTTGTGTGACCTGTACGACCTCTGGTGAATAGCACTGGATCAGATCTAGTTCTAAGAGTTATTAAAATAAACGTCTGTTTGAAATCGATGTCTATTAGACGTCTTCTAAACGCAGTGTTGTTGAACTCACCCTGCAGTTACAGCCCAGCTGATACCGGTGGTTAATGCCCTTCTTCTGGGCCAGAGACAGGCGTTCCCATCGCTCGTTGAAGTTACACAGGCCGGTGTAAACCTTCCCATCGTGAACACGACCTGCAAACACACACACATCAGCTGATGTCAGTGTAAAATATGAAGGTTTTAATTTGATTTGACCTAATGTTACAAATCCAATCCGTTCATCTTTTAATGCATGCCCCCAAACTCACTCATTGGCCAGTCAAACAGAGAGCCCCGCCCCCACACTCAGTCATTGGCCAGTCAAACAGATAGCCCCGCCCCCAAACTCACTCATTGGCCAGTCAAACAGATAGTCCCGCCCCCAAACTCACTCACTGATCAGTCAAACAGATAGTCCCGCCCCCAAACTCACTCGTTGATCAGTCAAACAGATAGTCCCGCCCCCAAACTCACTCACTGATCAGTCAAACAGATAGTCCCGCCCCCAAACTCACTCGTTGATCAGTCAAACAGATAGTCCCGCCCCCAAACTCACTCATTGATCAGTCAAACAGATAGTCCCGCCCCCAAACTCACTCATTGATCAGTCAAACAGATAGTCCCGCCCCCAAACTCACTCATTGATCAGTCAAACAGATAGTCCCGCCCCCAAACTCACTCATTGATCAGTCAAACAGATAGCCCCACCCCCAAAGTCACTCATTGATCAGTCAAACAGAGAGCCCCGCCCCCAAACTCACTCATTGATCAGTCAAACAGATAGTCCCGCCCCCAAACTCACTCATTGATCAGTCAAACAGAGAGCCCCGCCCCCAAACTCACTCATTGATCAGTGAAACAGATAGTCCCGCCCCCAAACTCACTCATTGATCAGTCAAACAGAGAGCCCCGCCCCCAAACTCACTCATTGATCAGTCAAACAGATAGTCCCGCCCCCAAACTCACTCATTGGTCAGTCAAACAGATAGTCCCGCCCCCAAACTCACTCATTGATCAGATATAGCACATTTAATACAGCCGCTACACTATAGTATTTCTGTCTGGTTTACAGTCCTAATTTTATCTTTTTTATCAGGAAACAAGACATTATGGAATTATACTCGTCTAGTAAATGCTTCTTGATTTAAGAATTTTTAGATATTTGGACTGGAAACAAGACAGAAATACTGATCAAAGTGCTTTACAGATTAAAAGATATAGCATGCATAACAACAAACAAAACAAAAGATAAGAGCAACATTGCTAAGAATAACCATGAAACAGGAGTAGCTAAACAGTATCAGACTCAAATATAAATGAGTTATTGAAGAAAAGAATCGCTATACTCCAGAAAACGGGTGTTTTAAAGCGTTTACACATGAGTGTCCCTTCAGAGATATCCTCTCTCTCTCGGCTTAGATTAAGCAGTTAGCCGGTTATATTCGACTGTTTGTGTCTTATTATCAGAACAGCTGCGCGTCACATGATAATGGTTCGCTCTTTAGATGATCTCAGGAACGCTACAGAGCCTCAGCTGGTCATAAACACACGAGTCTGATTCAGGAGACGGCAGATTTATGCCGGGAGTGTATTGGCACAGACTGATCAAGATAAAAGCAATTCAAAAGATACATTTAACCCTTGTGCATCAATTTACAAAAAGTTACACGGGTCCATACCGGACAAAAATGTTGATGCACAGACGTTGCGACAAAGTTGGGTCTCATTTTAAAGAAGACTCTTGGCAGATTATTGTTGAAGTAAAAAAAAAAAAAAAAAAGTTTAAAAAGTGAAACAGAGCTGGGTTTGGGATTTGCAGTAGTTTTTCTTTCTCAAATATTACACACACACACACACACTTCTTTTTTTTACACACATACAAACCACACTCTGACATCCATACCAACACACACACACACTTATCGCTGCATAATTTATCCAATTGTCTCTATAATATACAGAAGCAGAAAACAGGAATAAAGCGAGTATTTGCTTTATAGGCCCAAACATGGAAAAATGGCACATCTGGTAAAAAAATAGTAAAAAATGTAAATTCTGAAGTCTTGCTAACAGAATGAAAGCCTGTTAACAAAGATTGCATCATTTAATAGTTAAATGGCCATGATTAAATTTTTTATTTTTAATGGGTTTCAATGGGGACATGTTTGTCCTGAAGGTCCTGAGAGGAACTATTCTGTGTTACTACTGCAAAATAGATTTATTAAAGGAAATTGGGCTGTGAAATAGTAAAATTCCAATATAAATACACACCTGTGCCAACATGAGTGCAGTCGGCATTAACACAGGCAAAGTGATCAAGAAAACAAAACTGAAAAAGTTGCACAAGGGTTAAAAACAAGAACCCAGCGTGATGATGACGATGGCGGCGTCTCACCTGTGATCAGGTACTGGTATTTGTTGATGTCAAACTTGACTCCGCACATGCTTTCGCTGTTGTGTGTGTAGATGTACTGCACATGCTGGATCTTGTCGAAGCCTTTGTACATCTACAGATTAACACAATCGACAAAACACACACATCAGGACCCGTTTAAGTGATAAAAATTTCTCATCTACAGTGGGAATATCTGAGGAAAAAACATGCTGTCAAATATATATATATGTCTGTTTGTGTGTGTGTGTGTGTGTATGAGACAGATATAGACTAAAAAAGCATAAACTATTTTAAAAGAGCTTAGATGTGCAATAAAAGCTTTAACTAGTCTGAAAAGATCATAACCTAGTCTAAAAACTTAAACTAGTCAGTGTTTAAACTAGACTTTAAAAAAAGCAGTCTAGTTTAAAACTAGTTTAAAAGAGTCTAAAAAGAGCTTAAATGACTAACAAAAGCTTTAACTAGTCTAAATAGAGTTTAAACTAGTCTTAAAAGTGATTAAACTAGTCTGAACTGAATATAAAATAGCATAAATTACTCTAAAAAATGTAAACTAGTCAATGTTTAAAACTAGACTTAAAAAGCAGTTTAAAACTAGTTTAAAAGAGCTTAAATGACTAACTTTAACTAGTCTAAAAAGAGCTTAAACTAGTCTAAAAACTTAAACTAGTCAGTGTTTAAACTAGACTTAAAAAGCAGTCTAGTTTAAAAGAGCTTAAATGACTAACTTTAACCAGTCTAAAAAGAGCTTAAACTAGTCTTAAAAGTGATTAAACTAGTCTGAAAAGAACATATACGAGCCTAAAAAGCATAAATTAGTCTAATTAATTAATAAAATAGACTTAAAAAGCAGGTTAAAACTAGTTTAAAAGAGCTTAAATGACTAACAAAAGCTTTCACTAGTCTAAAAAAAGTGTAATGTTGTAAAACTAGTTGAAAAAAAGACAATTTGTACATTGAAATGCATTCAGGCATTCAACAGTAGTGCAATATATGCAATTTAGAGAGATCGATAGATATTTACAGTAAAGTATATAATATAAAATACAATATAAAGTAGTAAATATGCTAAAAAATATATGTTTGTATGTTTGCTTTGTGTATTAAATAAATAGTATAGTATGTGGAGTGTTTTTTGAAGCACAAAAAGCTCTTGGTAAAGGGAAAAGGTTTGTGTGGATAAACCTGGAGTGGAGCGTAGAGGAATTCCTGTCGTGATGTACGATAAGAGCTAAATCTGCTTCAGTGTGTTAGGGGTTACGGGCGATTTACTGCACACCGAGCGCCTGTTTGGACACACAGGAACAGGGAGTCTGGGAATAAACACATCTGGGATGTTTTGTCTTTGGCCTGTGTTTAGTCTAGAGCAGGAGATCCAACAGGAGCCGTGTGATCTGAGTGCAGGTCATGTGATCTATCAGCACCCGTCTGGTGTTAAAGGGATAGCTCACACAAAAGATTTAATTCTGTCAGTAGTTACGCCTAACCCTTGTGTCGCGCCTAACCCGCAAGACCTTCGCTCATCAGAACACAAATTAAGATATTAAAGATATATAAGATATTTTGCGCTAAAAGCGACGAGAATTGTTTTTTTTGGTGCACAAAAAGTAAATATCGACTGTTTTATTCAGTCATTTCTTCTATTCTCGATATTTTTTTTTTTTTTTTGCGCACAAACAGTATTGTTGTCGCTTCATTAAATTAAGGTTGAGCCACTGTAGTCACATGGACTATTTTAACGATGTCTTTCCTACATTTCTGGGCCTTCAAAGTGTTCATTAAATAGCTGACAGCGGCGACGTTTACATGCAACCAAATAATCCGCTAGTTGACGGCTCAATCTTCATGTAAACCCCCGATTGAGCTCGATCCCAGTGTCCTCTCGATCGGATTGAAAGGGTGTTATTCCTCTTCTGATCCGATCCAGAGATCATGTGAACGCTTGATCAGAGTGAAGCTGAAGGACTGCGCGCGCGCGGCGATGTAGAAATAGCGTAACGCCGTATGACGAGCTGTTCCTCCTGTTGAATAAAGTGTCGTATAAATGCTAACAACATGTTAGCAATGCTAGAAACATGCTAATTCTTGCTGACAATGTGTTTTTAAGTTATCTTAAACTTTTATTCAAGGCTTTGTCAACCCAACATCCACAGGTTTCCACAAACTTTACTCATCTAGCTATTAGCAGGTTATTATTCCCGTTTTAGTGGTGGATTAGCGCTTCTGATATTGTTTATATGACATATAAACGAGTGTCTCGTCATCCTATCCTGTGTGATGAATATAAGCAGCGGCTCATACGCTCATCGACTCCTGATTATGACCAGAAACGGATAAATATTCATTCTGCTGTTTAAAACAAATAAACAACCAGTGTAGGAGAATCATTATTATGCGCAAACAGCAGAAACTCTGTATGTTCGACAGGACTGTCACTTTATGAAAACCGATTGCACAATCGATCGACCAACCAACACAAGTTTCGAAAACGAAAATAGGGAATCGATTTTAACGGCCTTTTTGTTTTTTTACCAAAAATGTGTGTTATGTGGACAGATCAATACAGCACACAGAACATGTGGGATGCTGGAAAATAACAATGTCTTTTCTGTTTACCAAATGCTTTTTAATATTCGCTATTGCTTCAATGCAAGTGAACAAGCGCACCGTTATCTGTTGCGCAGTGACGTGTGTGTGTGTGTGTGTGTGTGTTCAAGTAAGCCAGAAATGAGCAGATTCTGCAATACGCAGTATTTAATATATCATGAGGATCACGAGTTGTGTATTTGCGATAAATCCGCGCAGTTTTGTCTTACACGAACTTCCCCAGCAAAGTGAGTAAACATAGAAACACGCCGGATTGGCTCGTGATTTGACAGTGTTTCCCGCCAAAGTTCATTTTAACACACATCTGGCGGGTCGAGGGTGTTAATGTCAATCCCTGAATGTTGCGCTCCGGTTTGTCATTGTGCTGAAACTTCACGCCAATAAATCATCAGGAATATTGCTGACTTGTGCGTCTCAAGCGCCCTCTTTACGCTCGTCCTAATGCCTGTTAGGTGTCCGTGGATTTGCCTGTATTTGGTGTTGAAAATGGAAACGTCTTTAGACATGGAAAATCGATTCAATGAACACTTATGACTCAAAAATCAAACAGGATTTTTTTCACAAAAGTGACAGCTCTAATATTCGAATATATCCCGATTTGAAGTGTGTGATGTATAAACCCACACACCGACCCGATCACATGTTCAGCGCTCAACGCAGCCGGTGGAGCCGCCCTGAGCCATCGGGTTCATTAGAAACATCTTGAGTTGTTCTGAGGATGAGCGAAGGTCTTGCGGGTTTGTGTTCTCACCTTCATCTGTTTGACGGTGTAGCGCAGGGTCCCGAACGGACGGTCGTCCAGGAGTTTCTTGCCCACCACTTTTGCCCTGATCACTGCAAAACACACACACACACACACACAGAGATCAGATGAATCCCAGAATGCATTGAGACAGGTGGTGGGGGGAACAGAAATGCATAAGAAATGTGCTTTTTTTATGGCTTAAAAAACAACTCAAGGCATTGCATCATGAATGCAGTCTTTTAGCCAGACCGTGTGTGTCTGATGAGGAAGACGAGCGGCGAGATGAAGGAGTGTCACATGATCAATATCAAGCAGTTTAGCCACTGTGACCGTACTGGCATTGGCTCATAACTACAAGAGAAATTCATAATATAATATAATATAAATTCATATAAAGTTTAAGTTTAAGCTCTTTTAAACTAGTTTTAAACAAGACTGCTTTTTAAGTTTAAACACTGACTAGTTTATGCTCTTTTTAGACTAAAAGCTTTTATTATTAATTTAAGCTCTTTTAAAATCGTTTATGCTTTTTTGGTCTATCACACACACACACACACACACACACACACATATATATATATATATATGACAGCAGGTTTTTTCCTCAGATATTCCCACTGTAAATGTGTGTGTCACAGATTTCCTGTTCAGAAAGTGTGTGAAGTGTGTGTGTGTGTCTGAGAGAGAGTGTGTGTATGTGTGTGTCTCTGTCTCTGTGTGTGTGTGTGTGTGTGTGTGTGTCTGTGTGAGAGAGAGTGTGTGTGTGTGTGTGTGTGTCTCTGTCTGTGTGTGTGTGTGTGTGTGTGTGTGTGTGTGTGTGTGTGTGTGTGTGTGTGTGTGTGTGTGTGTGTGTGAGAGTGTGTGTGTCTCTGTCTGTGTGTGTGTGTGTGTCTCTGTGTGTCTCTGTGTGTGTGTGTCTGTCTGTGAGAGTGTGTGTGTGTGTGAGAGAGTGAGTGTGTCTCTGTGTGTGTGTGTGTGTGTGTGTGTCTGTGAGTGTGTGTGTGTGTGTGTCTGTGTGTGAGGAACTAGACTGCTTCCTCAGAGACCGCAGAACGAGGCCATGTCAATACATGCGTCCTCTTCCCATAATCCCCTGCAAACACACTCGAGTCTCCCCGTCTGTAACCTGACACGCGTGTGTGTGTGTCCCGTCGCCCGTCACGCATGACACACTCGCGTGACGTGTGACGCCTCGTCTACTGTGTCCAGGTCCGACAGAGCCTGACGCTGGAATGCTTGTTATCTTCCACTGCAGGAATTTCCTTCCCAGAATTCTCTGAGGCTCACATTCCTCAGACCGGTGAAAAACCCCAGAGGAAAAGTTCATTCCCCCGTCGTCGTCAGCGAACGCGCCGGCAAAGAGCTTTCCCATAACCGCACCAAAACTCTGGAACGGTTTACCGATTCATATTAGAACTGCATATTCTTTCATTCAAATTAAAAACGCATCTCTTTTCTGTAGCCTATAACCTATTTTTATTCATTGGTTTTTGGTTTTAGAGCATTGTACAGCACATTGTGCTTTATAAAATAAATTGAGATTGACCGTTCTGCCAAAGTTATGAACAAACGTTCTTCCAGGAACATTAACAGAACGTTCGATCAACATTATCTGGTTTTTAAATTTCAATATAATACATTAAGTTGTGTCTATAGATTTTATTTAATGGACCTGAATATGAACTTTTTTATTGACTAATGTTAAATATTTTAAGAAATTAATGTATTATCTAATGGGACCGAAACGTTACGTCACCTTGGTCACCTTTGGCCTTTCTTAGTGGTCGACACTTAATTTAATATTCAACAATATTATATATAATAATATCTCCTGCATTGACAGCATTTTATGAGAACTGAACTGAGCTGGACGATGACATCACGGTTTTCTCCAGAGCGGCTATATATATATAAATTAATAACTTTTTACAACAAAAATGAACCATCACTGAACTGACTTATAACGCGATTATCTTTCTAGAAACAAACTTTGTTGCATTATTATTATTATCTCTGTAAAGCTGCTTTGAAACACTCTGTATTGTAAACAGCGCTGTATAAATAAAGCTGACTCGACTTGAAGAGGTCTGACCTCTCGCCAGAGTTCAGAGGTCACGCCGTGTGAAGTTCAGAGCCGCGCTCTGATTGGCTGTGAGCCGCTGTGCCGGTTTTCTGGAACTCTCTCGTGACCCGAATGTTTATGTAACCCAATTCCTGTGAAGTCCACCTGTCCGCCCCTCGGCCTGGCCCTCGGCTCGATCCTCACGGCTATATTTAAGAGCGTCTCCATAAGCCTCTGAATCATACATGAAAGCCCAGAGCCGGCGCCCGCTGTGAGTTATGCATATTCATGAGCCGCACACAAATCTGACTTACATTTGGGAAAGTAGGTGGCCGTTCGCTCAGAGAGGTAAATGGGTTAACGCAGGGAAACTCTTGATTCGTGACAAAACTAGTGATCCTTATACTTAGTCAACAATCCCGTTTTTATGTGACTAAAAGACTCAATTTTACACTATTTTAGTAGAGATGCACGTTTTATCGACCGATAACGACCGATAACGACCGGTATCGACCGATATATGTTAATTTTTAATGTTATCGTTATCGGCTTAATAAAAAAAGATGTAGCCGATATATTAAAGCCGATAAATAATGTATTTCTAGGGATGCACCGATATGAAAATTTTACCGATACCGATAATTTTTTAGGTTTGAAAGCTGATAACCGATATATTGACCGAAAAATCTAATTTTTATATCATTTTTGAGAGCCTGATTACAAGAACAAAGGTCTCACCATTAAAATCCACGTCCCAAACACACAATTATAATGATGATCTCGTTATAATGTCCTGTAGCCGATATGACAGGCTGAACCGTATTTTCCTTTTTTGAAGTGATTCCAATCATATTTCCAGCACTTCAAAGACATAATGGTGAACGCATCTGAAGTGTCTTCAGTTGTTTTATTGCGCATCGAGTGATTTATTCAGTAAATGTGTTTCCATCGTAGTTTATGCACAAAAAACATATCAACCTCAATTGAGTGCATACGTTTGAGTGTGTTTATGCAATATCCCAAGAACATTTTTTTGTTAACAATATAACTAGTTGAAACTCGAAAAACTTGAATATCGTGCAAAAGTTCATTTATTTCAGTAATTCAACTTAAAAGGTGAAACTAATATTTAGACTCATTACATGCAAAGTGAGATATTTCAAGCCTTTATTTGTTATAATTTTGGCTTACAGCTTCAAAATTCTAATTCAAAATTAGAATATTGTGAAAAGGTTTTCATAAGCTGTCAAAGTGAGGCTTGAAATATCTCACTTTGCATGTAATGAGTCTATATAATATTTTAGTTTCACCTTTTAAGTTGAATTACTGAAATAAATTAACGATATTTTGCACGATATTCAAATTTTTCGAGTTTCACCTGTATAAATCACACGGTAGATCTTGCCAATAGGTCATGCGTTCGATTAACAGGGAAAACAAGAACTGATCAAATGCGAACGCAGTGCAAGTGCCTTGATATAAGCATTGATAAATGATTTTGCACTCATGCATGAGTGTGTGTGATGTTTAACCAGAGCATCTCACCCCATCGCCACGTCAGATGGGAACCAGACCTCCGTTGGCGGGGTATTAAACTCCAGGGGCCAAAGTGTAGGGCAAAACACTAATCTGGAGCTTGAAAGGCCTTCAGAGTGAATAGAGCGTTTCAATTGCCTTCAAAAGCCCTGCCAACCGAGGCTACATGCGAGATCGGCACTGCTAACTCATTCTGGAGGCCGTTTGGCAGAAACCGCTATAATGGCGCGGGAACGGCGTGTTTAATGCGTGTCGATGAGGAATGTGGCGCTCTTGGTGTTTCACAGTTTGTGCATGTGCTGTTTTTCTGTGCCTGTGATTTGATGATTTAAGGAGCACATTTGTGATTCATCTCCCGTGCGTTGATTGCAGAGCGCGAGGCACTTAAACACGCGAGACGTAAATCATCCATCCGGCCGGCGCTTTGAAGTCAAGTGAGGGAACGAGACGGATAAACGGCCTCTTACAGCACAAAGCTGCAGTAGTTGAGCACAGTGATGCAACGAACGTGCGCAACACAGAATATTCAGATTTAGTTAGTTAGTTAGAAATAAATAACTCCGGAAAGATGCATTCTGATAAATATATACACTATATTGCATATGAATGATATTTTTACTGATTTAACATACAAAAATTTGGTGTAGAAAATGTTTCATAAGTAAATCTCACAAATTACAGCAAGTAACACATTGGATTCAAACATGAGATTTAGTTTTTTCTTGTAAAAAACTGTTTTATTTACAGCTTTGAAAAATGCAATATTTTTACATTTGTACATTTGAATTAATCTGACATTTTAATTACAGCCACCGTTTTAATGTTCATATTATATATTCGGTTTCGGTTTTCCAAACGCTAATATCATTAAAAACGCCATTATGTGCAGTTTAAATGTTTGGATACAACCTGATTATTACAGAAATGTTATTTTTGAAACAAAATTATATATTTTTTAAAGTTTAAAAACGTCCTAATGTGCAATTTAAACGTTTGGATACAACTCAGTTTGTTGATTATTAAAAACATAATTTGATTATTGCAGAAATGTTTCATTCACTGATTTCGGTGCATTAATTGCGCAGTTTCTCGCCTCGTGTAGATTTAAAGCGCATGCTCCATTATTCTCTACAGCTCTTTGCTACCCAGAAGCCTTTGCTGCATCTGATGCCTCTGGAAATATGTTACACATGGCAGCGGAGAGCAAAGCCTCCTGCGTTCTGTAGTTCTGGAGGAAATCTGTGCGCCTGGCGTCCCGCCACCGATTCAGACACGCTCACAATAGCCACAGTCTCTGCCTTTCATACAGCATGAACACCAGCACAAAGCCAAAGTCACATTTTATGGGACATCTCAATATCTAGTTTATCCACAAACACATCATCAGTATGCAAGTCATACGTGGCCTCTTAACCAGACAGTCCGGCTCCCATTTCATCCGAGCGGGACCTTAAAACCCGTTAAACGTAGCAGGACACGCTAACGTCAACA